AAAAAAACATAGTTAACAGGTAAATTTGTTATCCAATCCATCCATACATACACATAGACATCCATCCACACGTCCATCCATCCATCCATACATCCATCCATCCATACAAATACCATTGATGTATGTGTTTTACCCAAACCGATATCACACAGGCTGGTGGATTGCCGGCCCTGTTATCCTATGACAATTACAGTATATCTGTGCAACTTCCGCCGTCTCTGGCAGCCAGGCAGAGATGGGCTAATATCGTCAACTTTAGTAACATGATTACGTGCCACACCGAGTGTCGCTTGCCATGTGTGGCTCCACCTCCCGCCAAACGTCTATTCTCTTGTTTACCTTAAGGGTTCTACCGCTTGCCATGTGTGGCTCCACCTCTCGCCAAACGTCTATTCTCTTGTTTACCTGAAGGGTTCTACCGCTTGCCATGTGTGGCTCCACCTCTCGCCAAACGTCTATTCTCTTGTCTACCTGAAGGGTTCCACCGCTTGCCGTGTGTGGCTCCACCTCTCGCCAAACGTCTATTCTCTTGTCTACCTAAAGGGTTCTACCGCTTGCCGTGTGTGGCTCCACCTCTCGCCAAACGTCTATTCTCTTGTTTACCTGAAGGGTTCTACCGCTTGCCATGTGTGGCTCCACCTCTCGCCAAACGTCTATTCTCTTGTTTACCTGAAGGGTTCTACCGCTTGCCATGTGTGGCTCCACCTCTCGCCAAACGTCTATTCTCTTGTCTACCTGAAGGGTTCCACCGCTTGCCGTGTGTGGCTCCACCTCTCGCCAAACGTCTATTCTCTTGTCTACCTGAAGGGTTCCACCGCTTGCCGTGTGTGGCTCCACCTCTCGCCAAACGTCTATTCTCTTGTCTACCTAAAGGGTTCTACCGCTTGCCATGAGTGGCTCCACCTCTCGCCAAACGTCTATTCTCTTGTTTACCTGAAGGGTTCTACAGCTTGCCATGTGTGGCTCCACCTCTCGCCAAACGTCTATTCTCTTGTCTACCTAAAGGGTTCTACCGCTTGCCGTGTGTGGCTCCACCTCTCGCCAAACGTCTATTCTCTTGTTTACCTGAAGGGTTCTACCGCTTGTCATGAGTGGCTCCACCTCTCGCCAAACGTCTATTCTCTTGTTTACCTGAAGGGTTCTACCGCTTGCCATGTGTGGCTCCACCTCTCGCCAAACGTCTATTCTCTTGTCTACCTAAAGGGTTCTACCGCTTGCCGTGTGTGGCTCCACCTCTCGCCAAACGTCTATTCTCTTGTCTACCTGAAGGGTTCCACCGCTTGCCGACTGCAGCGTCATCCTATAAACTCCGCCAACAGTTTTGTCGTCTGGTTCTTACTGTGTAGAACTGCCTTGCGGACACGCAACTGTCTCCAAGACTATAATCCAATAAATGAGGCCAAAATATGGCTGGCTGCTCCTTGTGTGGGTCATCACATGTCATTAACTGGCCTCTTGTTCACCGTGTGGGTTCTTGACGCCATTTTCTGCGGGAACCCACAGCTTCTATATAAAGCGTGTCGTAAAATGCGATTACTTAGGAGATTGCTGGAACTGGGAGTATCCAGATGAAAAGCGCAGATATTACATCCTACCTACAAACCACAACGCACCATGACACCCGCCCCTGTAAGGAGGAACGAAGAAGAAGAGGAAGAAGAAGAAGAAGAAGAAGAAGAAGAAGAAGAAGAAGAAGAAGAAGAAGAAGAAGAAGAAGAAGAAGAAGAAGAAGAAGAAGAAGAAGAAGAAGAAGAAGAAGAAAAAGAAGAAGAAGAAACAAAAAAGGTAAAGAGTTATTAACGGACCCTCTACAACGCCTGAAGGTGTATTGGGGATACAGGAATAGATCTTTGTTGTAGTGTAATCGACACCTGGCTGGTGATGTGGTCAACATCACGCCGGCCGCCTTTACTTCCCAAAACTGTTACCTGGGACCATTTAAGGCTGGATCGATCTGAAGCCGAGGTCATTTTAAAGAAAAAAAAATCCGGCTTCGTTCTGATTCGAACCCACGACCTTCTGCTAAGTGTCTAGCAGCTACGCCTCGGCAACAAATAAATTACGATTGATATCTTGGAAGCTGTTAAATTAACTGATAACCTGATAACCTGAAGCAGACAACTAAAGACGGTCCATTCTTGGGGCACTTCTTCAGAAGAAGAAAACAAGAGTATATGACAAGGAAGTACTTAAAGGGGAGATAACCAATAGAGAATGCCAGAGAAGATGCTAGGCAGTGTATGTGACAGACTGTTATGAAAATGCACGATTACCAACGCCACTGGCACTGAAAAAAAAAAGTATGACGTGGTCTCTAATATGACACAGTCTACAGGTGTCTTCCCAAAGCGGCAGCGTAGCACAAAGTATGACCTCCAAAGCTCCATGACGATCCCCAGCGGTACCGGGAAAAATAACTACACTCATTAATTTAATCGAAGGAAGCTAAACGGAACTAAAGATTGCGAGAGCGCGGTATAACCACTTTACCACATTGACCCCTGGCCGCCATAAGACAGTGACAAGTATTTCCGGGTTAAAGTTATAATTTCTTAGCACGCCTGTCAGAGCCGGCGCTTCCGGGGTCTCTACGTTTTTTTTTTTTTTTTCGGTTTAGACAACGGATCAACATCATGGCACATAGGTAGTAACCCATAAATGCTCCATTCTACTTCTGAGATGGTGGGGAATGTCGCCTCTAACGCTCCATCTCACTTGATGGCATGACGCCTCACATGCAGCCAGCAGTCCATATCTGGTCTGCCTGACGATTACCCAGCATGACGAGTTGCAGTTGTGCCCTGTTCTTAAACCTTGATGAATTGACACACAAAAACGTACTGTTACCGGCCTTGTCCGCGTCGTCTGCAGACATGTATCACTGCTCCAGGAAACACTTGCGCGGTAATACCAGGCCGGAGACACAAGACAGCCTGAGCCAGTTGCCAGGCAGAAGACAAATACTGTCAGACACATTGTGTCTGTATACCGATCTTTAAATAAAGGGGAACGGTCTCAAGGAGAGGGGTCAGGAGGAGGCGGGTACGGTTGGCAAGGAAGACGTCAGGAGACAGGAAGTGTGCATATGTCCTCATACACGATGGGATGTCATTCTTCAGGTTGGATGTTGGATTAGAAACCTTGCAATTTCCCCGCCCCAGTACACTCCACTTCGCCTTTTCTTCCCCATCAGTGCTGTCCGTCTATCAATGGCGCGTGTGTCTATTTTACACCTCTTTCTATCGTCTGTGTACACATATGTATGTGATTGCTTACTTTAAGTGTACCTGTGTGTCCTCAAATTGTCTGTGCCACTATGACGGAATATGCGTGTCTGTGCCTGTTATGTGTGTGCGTGTGCACGTGTGTGTCCCTTTTTCCCCGTCCCTCTCTTTCTCTACACAAAATCCAGCCAAGTAAGCAGTCTCCCCAAACCTCCGCCCCCCCCCCCCATCCCATTCTTTTAATTCTGTATGTATGTGTGTGTACAAGTATGTGTGTGTACAAGTATGTGTGTGTACAAGTATGTGTGTGTACAAGTATGTGTGTGTACAAGTATGTGTGTGTACAAGTATGTGTGTGTACAAGTATGTGTGTGTACAAGTATGTGTGTGACGATCCCCTTCTCAGTAACCTGCTCTCCTTGGCCTTTCTCTGTCTTCTGTAGTCCAGCATTGCCTTTCAGCATCTGGCTGTGAACACGGTCAGATCCTTGCTATGTGCTACTTAGATGCTGGTATTCACAGACTCTGGACACACACACACACACACACACACACACATGAGTGTGTCTGTTTCCTTACAAAGTCATATCTGATTAGCGCCATCAACTGCTGATCCTGTGTGGCTGTCATCACATCCCGAGACAACCATTACAGTCTCATGACATGGCAGCAGAATTTGTTGTGCGACATCTGTCAGCACAAAATCGTCTGCACCGGAAGCTGTGACCCAGCCAGCATATATTTCTAATATAACATAAGTCCAGGGCTCCACAGAACCCCGTGTCTCTCTCTCTCTCTCTCTCTCTCTCTCTCTCTCTGTGTGTGTGTGTGTGTGTGTGTCTCACCCTCCCTCCCTCTCAAATAAACAAAAGTCGTTAACACTACCAGCTCCAGATATATACAATGCATAAATAACACACATTCTTGCCGTTTGGTCTCTAGTCGGATGGGCGACCCACAGACAAGGCTATCAAGAAAATCAATATGTTTGCTGCCATGATACCAAACAACAGTGTGGGTGCTGCTGCGAATTCTTGCTTTCAACAAGACGACCCACAGACAGACAGACAAACAGACAGTCAGAGCCAGAGACAAGGGCAATCAACTGCCCAACCCCACAGGCTAAGAACTGGCGCAAGTCGGCCAATGTCAAACTTCTCATTTCTCAGCATTCTCAGATTATTATTGCAATCTCATTTCATTTTATTGTTACAGCATAATCTGGTTAATATGCCGACAATAATCAATATGAACACGGCGAATTGCAAATTTAAGAAATAAAAAATTCGGGCTGACGAGAATTTAATTCAAGAACCAAGACGTCTTACAGTAAGAAAATGGCGAAAACTGTGTGCTAGTCGTAGACTAAAAGATGTAAACACCGGAGCAAAAGTCAAGGACCGTTTCCACGCCTTCAAGCGTAATGGGCATATAGGGCTAGACCTAAACTGCATAGGCCAATCAGCACTTTGGTGGGTGATGTGGACTGAGACTTGCAACAAGTGGCTGGCAGTTTCACAGCAAAAGGAAATAAATGACATTAAGTAGACACGTTAAAATAGCAGTGTGTACAATTCAATCTTTGATCTTCAGCTCATTAGTTTTAAACTGAACAACAAAAACATAAGATGCCTCAAACAAAAATGAGATGCCCCCACACTAATAGAAGATGCCCCAACACTAATATAAGATGCCCCACACTAATATAAGATGCCCCCACAGTAATATAAGATGCCCCCACACTAATATAAGATGCCTTATTTACTAAGTGCCTACCTTATCTCCGACTTTGACAGTCCTCTGTGGGATTTTTGCGATGGCCTTCTTGGCTGCACAGACAAGCCTTCTCTGAAAATACAAGCAGATTAGGAATCCTAAGCTTCGAATCATATTCAAATCACGGGCTACGTTGGTACTTATGGTAAAAACAATAGCTATCTTTCAGTTACTAGGACTACAGTATAGTTTCTTATTCTTTGTGTTGAAGGTTGTAAACTCCGGCGGAAATTTCTGGTTGTTCGTCCCCTTCTGAACTTAAGTCTCGTTCTAGATCTTGAGTTTTGCATGTACATTCACTTTACAGAGCTGGTTTATTTGTATGCAGACTGTTGGTTCCTTGTCTCTCGAGCAGATACTTTGAAGTAAACCCCTACTGACCTGACTCTAGCGACCAGCTTGCTAGGCAGGCAGTGAGTCTATTCTTGTCCCTCCACAACTGGGCCCTGGAACACAAACGGCGCCAATATGGTTTGGTTCGCATGCAGACACACATATCCTTGAGTATACTCCTGAACATATCGTGCAAGACATGACTGCCTATGATTTGCTAGAGAATGAAAAACTTATGAAGGCTGAATGAGAAGAATGAACCTGCCAACTGTAAAGACAAAGCTGCATCATTCTAAATCATAGATAAATATCAAATAGATATTTCTATAGCAAAATACTCGTAATAGGAAGTCACAGAGCAGGAACGTGTAGAAAACTACTAACAACTGAAACAAATATGGCATGTATTTGGTAAATGTCTTAGGTCTGAAAAGAGCCTCAACATGTAAGCTGCCGAAAATACTTATCCTAATTTTACTTTTAAAAAAAACAACAGCCAAATGGCTTTCAGATGTAATGTTTAAGGAGAATGTTTGGCAACAACTGGCAAAACAAGATTCTAAACACTGAGGTGTTGGACAGAGGAGGTACTACAACAGTCGCCTCAAGGCTCAGTATAGGGAGGCTCCAATAGCTAGGACATACCTGGAGGAAAGTAATGTTCCGAGAGACACACCTGGAGGATAACAATATTCCTAGGAACATATCTGGAGGATAGTAGTGTTCTTAGGGACATGCTTGGAGGATAGTAGTGTTCCTAGGGACATACCTGGAGGATAACAATGTTCCTAGGGACATATCTGGAGGATAGTAGTGTTCCTAGGGACATACCTGGAAGATAGTAGTGTTCTTAGGGACATACCTGGAAGATAGTAGTGTTCTTAGGGACATACCTGGAGGATAGTAGTGTTCCTAGGGACATACCTGGAGGATAGTAGTGTTCTTAGAGACATACCTGGAGGATAGTAGTGTTCTTAGAGACATACCTGGAGGATAGTAGTGTTCCTAGGGACATACCTGGAGGATAGTAGTGTTCCTAGAGACATACCTGGAGGATAGTAGTGTTCTTAGGGACATACCTGGAGGATAGTAGTGTTCTTAGGGACATACCTGGAGGATAGTAGTGTTCTTAGGGACATACCTGGAGGATAGTAGTGTTCCTAGGGACATACCTGGAGGATAGTAGTGTTCCTAGGGACATACCTGGAGGATAACAATGTTCCTAGGGACATATCTGGAGGATAGTAGTGTTCCTAGGGACATACCTGGAAGATAGTAGTGTTCTTAGGGACATACCTGGAGGATAGTAGTGTTCCTAGGGACATACCTTAAGGATAGTAGTGTTCTTAGGGACATATCTGGAGGATAGTAGTGTTCCTAGGGACATACCTGGAGGATAGTAGTGTTCCTAGGGACATACCTGGAGGATAGTAGTGTTCCTAGGGACATACCTGGAAGATAGTAGTGTTCTTAGGGACATACCTGGAGGATAGTAGTGTTCCTAGGGACATACCTGGAGGATAGTAGTGTTCTTAGGGACATACCTGGAGGATAGTAGTGTTCCTAGAGACATACCTGGAGGATAGTAGTGTTCCTAGGGACATACCTGGAGGATAGTAGTGTTCCTAGGGACATACCTGGAAGATAGTAGTGTTCTTAGGGACATAATCTAGGGCACGGGTGTCCAACCTTTTTTCAGCTCACAGCCTCCCTTGAGTACATACAGGGCCAGACCTCCACGCCCCCTCCTCTTTTAAGTATATTGCAATAACCCCCCCCCCCCCCCCCTTTCCCAACCACTCCCAACATTACAACAACATATTTGATTAAAAAGACGAAGACAGTGGATTTTGCAACACGGAAACAGAAATTATGGAATATGCTCTTAATCTATAATGAAATGTGCGTGTTTTTGCAATAATTAGATTTGTAGATGTACAAACTGCTTTTAAAAAACAAAAATATTCATCTTGTTCTGTTAAAAAGTTTTTAATCAATACTTTATTTATAATGAAACTAAAAGAAAAAGTAAGTAGTATAAAGGATTATTAAGGTTAGCTGCGTATCCTTTACAGGACGTTGCAGAACAAACCCCTGCAGCCCCTGGCTGTTGTGTGGTTTTTCTAGGCAAATTTACGTCCAGTAGTTTGCCAGTGCCATCTGGACGGTCGGCTTTCTTGATACCACTGTCGAAACCAACGCAAGGCGCATGGCCCGCAGCTGGGATCAAACCCGGCATCCCGGCTTACGAAGCGTTCGTATCGACTTAGCCACAGAGCCGACTATAAAGGATTATTACAAGCACAAAAACATTCACTTTTGAAATAGGTTGACTCCCCCTTGAAACCTTCTGAACACCCCCCACCCCCCCCCCCCTCATTCCCCCACCCCCCACTCAGGCTGGAGACCACTGAATTAAAATATGATGATGTCTACATGTGGGACACAAATGATACAGGTATTCAGGCCGATTCTAGGAAAAATTGTCATGGTCAGTACTGCATTGAAAGGTACTGGGGGGAGGGAGAAGAGGATCAGATAAGTTCAGAGCTGAGCATAAGTTCAGAGCTGGGCATAAGTTCAGAGCTGAGCATAAGTTCAGAGCTGGCTGAGCATAAGTTCAGAGCTGAGCATAAGTAAGTTCAGAGCTGAGCATAAGTTCAGAGATGAGCATAAGTTCAGAGCTGAGCATAAGTTCAGAGATGAGCATAAGTTCAGAGCTGAGCATAAGTTCAGAGATGAGCATAAGTTCAGAGCTGAGCATAAGTTCAGAGCTGGGCATAAGTTCAGAGCTGAGCATAAGTTCAGAGATGAGCATAAGTTCAGAGCTGAGCATAAGTTCAGAGATGAGCATAAGTTCAGAGCTGGGCATAAGTTCAGAGCTGGGCATAAGTTCTGGGCATAAGTTCAGAGCTGGGCATAAGTTCAGAGCTGAGCATAAGTTCAGAGCTGAGCATAAGTTCAGAGCTGAGCATAAGTTCAGAGCTGAGCATAAGTTCAGAGCTGAGCATAAGTTCAGAGCTGAGCATAAGTTCAGAGCTGAGCATAAGTTCAGAGCTGAGCATAAGTTCAGAGCTGAGCATAAGTTCAGAGCTGAGCATAAGTTCAGAGCTGAGCATAAGTTCAGAGCTGAGCATAAGTTCAGAGCTGAGCATAAGTTCAGAGCTGAGCATAAGTTCAGAGCTGAGCATAAGTTCAGAGCTGAGCATAAGTTCAGAGCTGAGCATAAGTTCAGAGCTGAGCATAAGTTCAGAGCTGAGCATAAGTTCAGAGCTGAGCATAAGTTCAGAGCTGAGCATAAGTTCAGAGCTGAGCATAAGTTCAGAGCTGAGCATCTGTCTGAGAAGAAGTAAATTAAATACATGTGGCAGCAACAAAACCCAGGCCGTCACTGTGTAAGTCGGTGATCACAGCCAGCAGGTCTTGCAAGTCATACTCGCCATCACCATGGGTTGTCATTCCCAGGCCTCTGTATAGCTCAATATCATTCGGAAAGACACAAAGGTACCAACCACTATATAAACAACTCAAAACATACTCCGGCTATACGCTGACAATAACATATGTAGGTATATGAGTCTATATAAATAAACCAAAGCCCAAGCTGAAATGACTTCTATTATTAGCTACAACATTTGTACCCTGTTTATTAAATGATAAATAAACAGCAGACAACAGGTTAGGATCATAACCACAAGGTAAACATCACAGTTAATTATTCACACAGAAAATTAGTTCAACTTATTTAGCATAGCATTTTGTTTGTTTTAGACGAATAATGCTAAAAACACAAGAACTGTTGTCAGCATTTGAAGCTGGGTAATTGTCAATGATGAGTAACAGCTACTACACCACACATGTGGTGCAGCTGCTAGCAGTCTTGCCTTCTTACCCTTGATTATAAGTTCAGACCCACAATCAAGTTTTAAACTGAAATAGACAGATCACCCATTCAACGCTGGTCGACCATATGCTACAGACTGAACCAGTTTACATGGAAAAGTTAACATCACAAGATATAGACTGAACCAGTATACATGGACAAATTAACATCACAAGATACAGACTGAACCAGTATACATGGAAAAGTTAACATCACAAGATACAGACTGAATGCTTGTATGGTCAGATGGTGTTCAGATCATCTCAGATTGTCACAAGGCTTTGCATCATTTAAACGGAGGTAGCTGTAAAGATTTCTTTACAGACAGGGTGGAAAACTCAACAGGTTAGACAACTGAATGTTGATCTTCAATTAGTCCCTCCTCCATTAGAGTGGCGGTGGCCCAGTAGCTAGCATGCTTGTCAGTCACTCTGTTAGCCTTAGGCTAAAATCTCTTTCAAGGCTGATTGTAAAACTGACCTGGCTGCCCAGGTGGGGTCAGTCCAAAAATAGGCAGATAAAAATGTCCTGGAAAGTAAAGGCATCCAGTCTGACTATGTCACCCCTTGCGTGCCGGTCTGACTATGTCACCCCTTGCGTGCCGGTCTGACTATGTCACCCCTTGTGTGCCGGTCTGACTATGTCACCCCTTGTGTGCCGTCTGACTATGTCACCCCTTGCGTGCCGGTCTGACTATGTCACCCCTTGTGTGCCGGTCTGACTATGTCACAACTTGCGTGCCGGTCTGACTATGTCACAACTTGCGTGCCGGTCTGACTATGTCACCCCTTGCGTGCCGGTCTGACTATGTCACCCCTTGCGTGCCGGTCTGACTATGTCACAACTTGCGTGCCGGTCTGACTATGTCACCCCTTGCGTGCCGGTCTGACTATGTCACCCCTTGCGTGCCGGTCTGACTATGTCACCCCTTGCGTGCCGGTCTGACTATGTCACCCCTTGCGTGCCGGTCTGACTATGTCACCCCCTGTGTGCCAGGCTGACTATGTCACCCCTTGCGTGCCGGTCTGACTATGTCACCCCTTGCGTGCCGGTCTGACTATGTCACCCCTTGCGTGCCGGTCTGACTATGTCACCCCCTGTGTGCCGGTCTGACTATGTCACCCATTGCGTGCCGGTCTGACTATGTCACCCCTTGTGTGCCGGTCTGACTATGTCACCCCTTGAGTGCCGGTCTGACTATGTCACCCCTTGCGTGCCGGTCTGACTATGTCACCCCTTGCGTGCCGGTCTGACTATGTCATCCCTTGCGTGCCGGTCTGACTATGTCACAACTTGCGTGCCGGTCTGACTATGTCACCCCTTGCGTGCCGGTCTGACTATGTCACCCCTTGCGTGCCGGTCTGACTATGTCACCCCTTGCGTGCCGGTCTGACTATGTCACCCCTTGCGTGCCGGTCTGACTATGTCACCCCTTGCGTGCCGGTCTGACTATGTCACCCCCTGTGTGCCGGTGTGACTATGTCACCCCCTGTGTGCCGGTCTGACTATGTCACCCCTTGCGTGCCGGTCTGATTATGTCACCCCTTGCGTGCCAGTCTGACTATGTCACCCCTTGCGTGCCGGTCTGACTATGTCACAACTTGCGTGCCGGTCTGACTATGTCACAACTTGCGTGCCGGTCTGACTATGTCACAACTTGCGTGCCGGTCTGACTATGTCACAACTTGCGTGCCGGTCTGACTATGTCACCCCTTGCGTGCCGGTCTGACTATGTCACAACTTGCGTGCCGGTCTGACTATGTCACAACTTGCGTGCCGGTCTGACTATGTCACCCCTTGCGTGCCGGTCTGACTATGTCACCCCTTGCGTGCCGGTCTGACTATGTCACCCCTTGCGTGCCGGTCTGACTATGTCACCCCCTGTGTGCCGGTCTGACTATGTCACCCCCTGTGTGCCGGTCTGACTATGTCACCCCTTGCGTGCCGGTCTGACTATGTCACCCCTTGCGTGCCGGTCTGACTATGTCACCCTTTGCGTGCCGGTCTGACTATGTCACCCCCTGTGTGCCAGTCTGACTATGTCACCCCTTGCGTGCCGGTCTGACTATGTCACCCCTTGCGTGCCGGTCTGACTATGTCACCCCCTGTGTGCCGGTCTGACTATGTCACCCCTTGCGTGCCGGTCTGACTATGTCACCCCCTGTGTGCCAGTCACCTTTAAACATAAGGAGATACCCCTCAAAACACTGAAATAATATGCTGACTTTTATGTAACTCCAACCGCTGTGTCTTCTTCTTATTCGTGTTCACCAGCTGTAAATTCTGACGTCAAGTTCTGGGTGTTTGTTTGCTTCTGTTCTTCAGTCCTGTCCCAGAAGCTGTGTGTTGTGTGCACTTGTATGCAGATTCTTAGTTCCTTATCTGTCAGACAGATGCACTCTGACGTCAAAGGATGCTCCCAATTAATCTACTCCTACGATGTACTTGCTGGGGAAGGCTTTGGGTTTATTTTCGTTTTGCTAACAACGGGGCCCCAGAAAAGATGCAAGGACTGGTGTTATCCCAATTTAACCCGTATTCGACAAGCACATGCAATGACAAGAATTCACTTACAGCGAGCCTCTCCTTGGCATGTGAGTATCGAAAACGTTGAATGTAGTAAAACACCAGCCAGGCCAGCGAGATGACCATCAGCACGATGAAGGAGATGGACACAAACAGGACTGATGTTTTGCTGATGCTGTTCTGTGCTTGTGCGTTCAGATTCTCATCGGGGCCGGGAACAATGTGCATGTGAACAGTATAACCCTCATTCAACAAACGAACAATCTGCTTCCCATTTTCCAAACTCAACATGACAGAGATACCTGCAATTGCTGAAAATAAACAATGAAATGATGAAACACAGGTCAAAAGAATCCCAATTTTACCCTTAGTTCCTAAATCGCTCTTTTTCTGTCAGGAGATTTATCAAGCAGGAGATTATAGGTGATTTGTTTTGAAAGTTATCTCATTTAAAAATATAACTACCAATACTGAAACCAGATTTCTTTAGTGAGTTGTGACTAAATGCATAAATCAAAAGAACACACTACATAATGGTAAAGATTCACTGGGAACAGAAATTAACTCATGCATTTCTTGGCAGCAGAAATATTCTCCATGAGTTTTAATTTACTGTAAGTGGTTAAGAGTTAATGATATCTATGGATTTCACAAGCCCTGACCTGGTGATCACAATATGTGCTAGAAACACCACCACTGGCTAGGTTGGGAACACACAGTCACAAGATCTCCATTTTGCTGAGGATATGGTTCTGCTAAGTCAAAACAACAATGACATGCCAGAAAACAGGTTGATTTAGCTCTATGGACAGGAGATCAGTTATAAAAAGACAAATGTACTGAAGACACCAGCAACAGATCAAGCAGATGTAACGCTAGAAACAACAACAAACAATTAATGTAAGTAAAAGTAAAAAAGTAAAGGACCCTTTTCCAGGCCTTTAAGAGTATAGGGCCAGTAGGCACAAGATGGGTGATGTGGTCAGCATCACGCCGGCCGCCTCTACTTCCCGGGACTGCATTCGGTACCCACTCAAGGCTGGGTGGACCTGGGAGCCAAGGTAAAAAGCGATTCATGTAACACATCAATTTACTTATTTAGTCAACAGTTTTGACAGTGAAAGACCCCCCTCCCCTCCCCTCAACCACAAAAATGATGTGCATTTTAAAGATATGAGTAGCTTTTATTAGCCTGAACAAAATATGAAACTCTAAACTGTATAGTTTTTTTTTAAAGTTACCAATTTCCCACGACAGCACCATCTTCTCCGTCTTATAACTGTTGATAAGATGCAGACCAAGAAATACCTGGTAACAGAACCTGACTGACTGAACAGGCACCTTTCTATTTTTTGGGATGAGAGTGTAAAAATTTTTTGGGATGAAGAATGTGAATCACATGGGTAATGAAGACCAGATATGATTCCCCCCCCCCCCCCCCCCCTCCTCCCTTTCTCCTCCATACCATCAAGCCTTTATGCAGTACTGTAAAGGAAAAATGAAAATCACATAGGTAAAAAAGGTCAGACATGATTTCCCCCCCCCCCCCCCCCCCATTTCTCCTCCATACCATCAAGCCTCTATGTGGTACTGTAAAGGAAGAATGTGAATACCATCAAGCCTCTATGCGGTACTGTAAAGGAAGAATGTGAATACCATCAAGCCTCTATGTGGTACTGTAAAGGAAGAATGTGAATACCATCAAGCCTCTATGCGGTACTGTAAAGGAAGAATGTGAATACCATCAAGCCTCTATGTGGTACTGTAAAGGAAGAATGTGAATACCATCAAGCCTCTATGTGGTACTGTAAAGGAAGAATGTGAATACCATCAAGCCTCTATGCGGTACTGTAAAGGAAGAATGTGAATACCATCAAGCCTCTATGCGGTACTGTAAAGGAAGAATGTGAATACCATCAAGCCTCTATGCGGTACTGTAAAGGAAGAATGTGAATACCATCAAGCCTCTATGTGGTACTGTAAAGGAAGAATGTGAATACCATCAAGCCTCTATGCGGTACTGTAAAGGAAGAATGTGAATACCATCAAGCCTCTATGTGGTACTGTAAAGGAAGAATGTGAATACCATCAAGCCTCTATGTGGTACTGTAAAGGAAGAATGTGAATACCATCAAGCCTCTATGCGGTACTGTAAAGGAAGAATGTGAATACCATCAAGCCTCTATGCGGTACTGTAAAGGAAAAATGTGAATACCATCAAGCCTCTATGCGGTACTGTAAAGGAAGAATGTGATGGACGTGGATCATCAGCACAAGCACACAGCAACACCACCCTTAAAATGTAAACCTCAACAAGGGTTCAGGCAGCATGATTCCTCTCAAGTCTGCCTTGTTCACTCCAAAGGAATGGTAACACCAACATATTTGGAGACAAGCATGCCAACCAACTGCCAACCAAGACCAACAGCCTGGTCCACCCTGCCATAACACTCAGTTTCCAGGTTGCATTTCCACAACACTGAAGAGTACTTCTTGGCTGAAGGTGGACATCAAGAATGTCCAGCGAATGAAAGAGCTCTACAGCCTGACAAATCTGAAGGGATATACTCAGCAAGTAGCCACCAGATGTCAGCTTTTACCCATTAAGAGCTGACAAAACCAACAGCTGTCATTTTCTTATATTAAAACTCACCCACATCGGAAAATCTGTCAACTGGACAGTGAAAATGGGACAGGAAATGTCCTGCAAATTATCAGACCTGTTAAAGATAATTTAACTGTTGTGGTATGAGTCAAGGCTTGAAGTCAGCCCTATTATTGAATCGGAGACAATGTTTCACTGTGGCATGAGTCAAGGCTTGAACTCAGCCCTACAACTGAATCGGAGAAAATGTTTTACTGACAAATAAATGGTGAATCAGGAGTGACTATCAGATCTGTCATCCTTAACAAACACATTACAGGTACCATAATGGAGGGAAACATTTGCAGCCAAAAAAAATTAAGACAACATTTCAAAGACATTCTCATAAGACATCACAATATAAATTGGCAGATAACATCAATGTATAAAATATGGACTGATAAAAAAAAAGATAATAATCATTGACTCAATCCAATGCCGTCTCTGCAGTGAAGACTGCTGCAATGAGAACCAAAATGACCTGACTTTTGCCCTGAATGTAAACTCTCTCAGACTGCTGTTCATCCATCTCTTGATGCTGTGCTCCCACTTGTATTGCTGTCTGCCTCTTGCTCTAAATCTATAGCTGTAATGGTCCAAATCTGGCCCCTGTGCCAGACAACCTCTTATTTATAGCTGCAATAGGCCAAATCTGGCCTCTGTGACATCCTGTTTTCTATAGTCGTAATGGGCCAATTATGGCCTCTGTGCTATTGTGACATCCTCTTATCTATAGTTATTATTTACAAATTATTTCCCTCATTTAATTTTTTCTCAACTGTATTATTGTAACACAGTTCTGAAGGAATGATTTTAAAAGTATAACAATGGGTAACAATAAAATTTCGGAAAATTACTTAACAGAATGACTTGTCTTCTCTTCCCTGGCTCACAGGTCTTCCCCCAGGTAGTTAGGTGGCAATTGTCTATTATAGGAATTAACTTACAGCAACAGGTAGTTTCCAGTTGCATAATGTACAGAAAAGCATCTTGGGCTCTCCTTTAAACTATGGCCGGTAGACAACAGTAGACGGCCGGTTAGTCAGAGTTCTGTCCCCTTGCTGTAGTGCAATTATGGAGTGGAAAGGAGGAAATGAAATAAATGGCATAATTACTGTGTGTTGGCGATATACAGCATGCACTGCCCTGCTATAATCATACGGTTACGGTTTGGGTTTGGTTTAGGGTTAGGGCTAGGCTTAGGGGTAGGGTTAGGGTAACACATTTACCCATAATGACGGTCGCTTTATCTGATAATTTTGAGACAGGAGTTCCAAATAATGGCCGAAAATGTGCTGCTTGTGGCAGTGGCGCCATTGAAATTCTGCTAAATGTGAAGGCAATAGCGCCCGGCTAGTGCCCAATTGGTGCCGAATTTTGCGTTTCAGTAGCATCCAAAGCCCTTTAATCGTTTGGGTGTGGATGTCACTGTGGGCGACGTCAACGAAGTTGGTCAGCTCTCATCTACTTCAACCACGACAGATCTGCCGGTCGCATCAAGTCCTCCCATATCCACCGTGTGTCTCAACATCCAATTATAGCATTGCTGCCGAAAATAATTGGTGTAGTTTACAATGGTGGCCCAGGTCGTGAGTCTCTCGAAGACCATGACAGTCGTCGAACTGACGCTGTAGAGCCAATAGTCCATCATCATGAGTATTTTCTCGGTCGGAATATCACAGTTGGCGAAGAACGTCGACGTCCCTTCGTTTTGTGATTCGTGCCTTTTCCACTCCGTAATTGCACTGTAGCCAAGGGACTGAACTCCCACTAACCGGCCGTATACTGTTGTCTACCGGCCGTAGTTTAAAGGAGAGCCGCATCTTGTTCTAATCTGTATAAACTGTAATTAATTACAAACATGAACACTGAAAATATACAAAAATCTATGAAACAAATCCCCAAGGCATTCTACATAAAACAACAAACATACCTTTATCATGCTCCATCGGCGGCAAATATTGAGTATTGGACTCGTTGTTGTAAATGACAATCGCTGTGGCATTGTGATCTTTCGTTGCCATTTTGATTTTGTTGGTGAAAGAACACTCTCCCCGTTTTACAAGAGCTATCCATTGCTCTGATGGAAATTTGGGATTAATATAATTAGTACATCCGAAATGATTTGTGTAACTTATTCCTGATTTGTTTAAGAGGGACAGTGTGTGCATAACAACACCTGACGCTTTAGCGATGACGCTGTTTTTCCCGTATCTTCCTTCAAAATGTTCCTCCTTCTTTGTATTTGTATCACGGTCCATGTAAGATATGTTGATGAAAGCTTTAACGGTATCCTGCCCTGGAGAATGGATTATATGTGGATCGTCGGCACAAACACACGGCAACATCACCCTTAAAATATAAACTACAACAAGGGTTCGGGCTTTGCTCCGTGGAAACCACCATCTTGAAAAGCCATTCAAAACATTGCCCGAAGTACGCATGCTGACGGGCCTAACTAGCACTTATCTTTACTTTCAGGAACATTTAATGATACACAATCGATGTCCACATTCATCTACACATCTGGATATATCCTTGGACTGCCGATGTAGTTGTGGGGAGAAATAGAAGGGCGAGGAGGCCAGGCTTGGGGCGATGCGACCACTGCAGCAGACGTCGCCTGTCAGCCTAGAGCTGCTTGTGTGTGTAGTACGTCATCAGCAGACAACACAAGCTCACAGGCACCAGCAACAACCACCGGAGGGGGCTGATCCCCAGCCTCTGGGGCTGCCAGACCTCTTGTGTGTCAGCACGACTTCTCACAGCATCCTGGTTTATGCTCCCCTTCGGCGTTTGCCTTAAAATTGCTGTTTACACTTCGTCTTGTGGTTTACAGCTAGACTGCGATATCTTCGCTTTTTGGACCTACATTTCCTTTTCAGCTTCGAGGTTCACAGCGACCAATGTCAGACGTGGCTCTTCTTTCACGCTCCCAGTTCCCTTTAGGACATGCTTTCAAGGAGGCTTTCTCGCCTCAAAAATAAGGCTCTCCGAGGAGGTTTATCGTTTCTATCTTCTCAACTTTACTGTGATTGCCGACAGCACTAACCTCACTTTTTTTTTTTCTGTCTCAGCCAATTGGTAGCATTAAACAAGGCCACAAACAAGTGTTCAGTGGGTGAGAGAGACACACGCAGAGAGAGAGAGAGAGAGAGAGAGAGCGTTTTAAGAGCAGAGAGAGTAGAGTTAGCAAAGTAGAGAAAGAGAGAGAGATAGTAATAAGACTTAGTAGAGAGAGAGTTGAGTGTTAACAGAGTAGAGAGTTGAGATAATAAAGAGAGTAGAGAGTTAACAGACTAGAAAGTTAGGATAATAAAGAGAGTAGATGGTTAACAAAGTAGATAGAGAGAGTAGAGAATTAAGATAATAAAGATAGTAGCGAGGTAACAGTGTAGAGAGATAGTAGAGAGTTAAGATAATAAAGACAATAGAGAGTTAACAGAGTAGAGAGTAAAGATAATAAAGAGAGTTAACAGAGTAGAGAGTTAAGATAATAAAGAGAGTAGAGAGTTGAGAGTTAAAATAATAAAGAGAGTAGAGAGTTAACAGAGTAGAGAGTTAAGATAATAAAGAGAGTATAGAGTTAAGATAATAAAGAGAGTAGAGAGTTAACAGAGTAGAGAGTTAAGATAATAAAGAGAGTAGAGAGTTAACAGAGTAGAGAGAGTTAAGATAATAAAGAGAGTAGAGAGTTAACAGAGTACAAAGTTAAGATAATAAAGAGAGTAGAGAGTTAACAGAGTAGAGAGTTAAGATAATAAAGAGAGTAGAGAGTTAACAGAGTAGAGAGAGTAGAGAGTTAGGATAATAAGGTGAGTAGAGAGTTAAGAAAGTAGAGAGAGTAGAGAGATAAGATTATAAAGTGAGTACAGAGTTAACAAAGTAGAGAGAGTAGAGAGTTAAGATAATAAAGAGAGTAGGGAGTTAACAGAGTAGAGATAACAGAGTAGAGATTTAACATAGTGGAGAGAGAGTGAAAGAGAGCTAGAGATTGGCAGAGTATATAAAAAGTAGTGAGAGAGTGAAGGAGATGTTAGTAACGACAGCAGGAATTAAAAAAGTGTGACTGTATCACCAAAGAGGGTTAGAGCCAAGGGAGACAACTAGAGAATTGCAAGTCTGTTAGGGAAGAAAAGGGAGTATTTTTTCAGCTTTTTCGCCCTATCACCCAGTAAACAGAAGAGGGAAAGAGACAGTAAGAGAGAAAGACTAGAGAGAGAGAGAGAGAGAGAGAGAGAGAGAGAGAGAGAGAGAGTAGAGAATGAAAGGGAGAGTAGAGAATAAAAGAGAGGGAAAGAGAGAGTACAGATTGCGAAAGAGAGAGTAGTGAGAATGACAGAAAGAGTAGTAAGAGTGAAAGAGAGAGTAGTGAAAGAGAGAATAGTGAAAGTGAAAAGAGAGAGTAGTGTAAATAGAGAGTGAAAGTGAGAGAAAGTGAAAGAGAGAGAGTAGTGAAGAGTGAGAGAGTAGTGAAAAGTGAGAGAGAGTAGTGAAAGAAGAGTAGTGAAAGTAACGAGAGAGAGTAGTGAAAGAGAGAGTAGTGAGAGTGAAAGAGAGAAGTAGTGAAGAGATAGAGTAGTAAAGAGAGAGTAAGTGATAGAGAGTATGAGAGAGAGCGTAGAGAAAGTATTGAAAGAGAGAGTAGTGATAAGTGAAAGAGAGAGTAGTGAGTGTGAAGAGAGAGTAGTGAAAGTGAAAGAGAGAGTAGTGAGAGTGAAGGAGAGCGAGAGAGGAGAGTGAGTATTGAGAGTGAAAGAGAGAGTAGTGAAAGAGAGAGTAGTGAGAGTGAAAGAGAGAGTAGTTAAAGA